CATCAAAAAGAAGGCCCAGATGTTTCTTCCATCATTTGGGTGCAATGCTCTTTTAGTCCAGGAATACGATAGCATCTGTACGAGAGGTAAATACATACGTCTGGCACCGGCAGTAATTCCCGAGCCTGGAAGAACAAAACAACACACGCCCCACATCTACTTTTTGGATGCCCAGAAAGAACAAGACTGTAATCCAGATCAAAATTCTTGTTCTCTGAGAGTGAGAGAGAAAGCGCCAGGCTGTGATCTCAGTCAGACTGGGTACATCTGAAATAGCTTCCCCCAAGGCAGTGCTCTTTCAGCTGAGCAGTATAACCAAGAGCAGGCTCGGGACGGGGCTTCAGTATGTGTGGGAAAGCTTTGCTTCTCTCCCAGGAGGGGCACTTTGCAAAAGCATCATCAGCCAGGGTCTCCTGTGATTGCTTTTCTAATCTAGTAACACCTTACATCGTTGGAGAACCAGGAGTCAGTGTATGATGTTTTCTGCGGGTTACATGCCTTGACGTTCGCTGTCCTGTCTCACATTTCCTGCTGTCGTTCCGTTTCTCGGTGCTGTCCCGTGGTGTTCGCTCTTGGTGGGACTGCACGCTTGCCCCCACAGCTTTCCAGTCCTGTGGAGGCTGTGGTCTGCTGACAGCTATTACGTCGTCCCAGCATCCCTCGTGTGCTGACACCTTGTCACTGGAAGCCCTAGGGAAGACAAAAGATACTGTTGAAAATCCCTTTGAGTTTCCGCCAAAGTGCCGCTTAGGGAATGAATGGTTGGGGTTTTTTGTTTTTCACCTGACTGCCGACCTTGGAAAAGCTCTTCAGCAGCTGCCTGGACGTTGATGTTGGTCACAGTAATTACGGCTGTAACTCTTCTCCATGTGCTTTTCTTTCATCTAAGGAACCTTATTGCAGTATGTACCATCTACCCAAAGGACCTTTTGCAGGGCTGTGGCGTAGTTATCCTTCTGTGAGACGAGGAGGTGAACATCCAGCCCTGTTGTCTACTGTTATTATTAGGACAGTGTCTGCATGTCAAATCTTCCTACTATTTTATTTTCATGTTTTGCTATCACCCAGTTGGCTGATTCTAAATTAATTTATTCTACCTCACTAACACTTGGGCTTAATCCCCTGTTCCTGGGTGCAGTGGGACAGCAAGCGTTCCAGCTGCGTGTCCGACAGTACTGCAGAAGGAAAGTCAGACTCTTTCAAGGAGGTAGGATTTTGCAGGAATCATAAATCATCTTGTTTCTTAATAAGTAGTAGCAAAACCTGGGGCAAATTCTGGGCTGACTTATTCCTGAGCAGGCCAACAAGGTCTTCGAGTGTCCTCAAGGCAAATGTTATTGCAGCTTTCAGTCCAACAGTGCAAAGTTTTTTACTTCCCCAACTGCCAAAGCAGGAAACCAAAAAAGCAATATAGTTTGAAAAGGCATTTTATGTTTTACTCCAATTAGATTCCAATTCAGAATCCAATAATTTGTCCTATTAATATGCTATTAATATGCTACATTTTCATTTGTATTATTACCGCAGTGCTTGATTTATTTGGTTTTAAATTTTGGTTTAGACGTTCTTGTGAAATAAAAAAGAATAATGGCTGTATATTCCTTCCAGAAAGAAATATGAATGGACGTATTGTTGAAGAGAAGTTTTTTGCAATACTAGGATTAATATATTGGTTATGTGCTGCTATAGATTTAATGGTATTCAGATCCATAAAGGCATATCTGGATTATTGGAGGAGGAGAATCGCTTGATTTCTGTTCCCTTTCTGAAACTTTGGCCACTCTTAAGCAGTGAAGTAGAACAAATTACAATAAAATTGAAGAGTCTCTTCAGAAGCAAAGCCAGAGGGTCAATATCTCATGATGCCGATATAAGTACCTGATGCTCTTTGGGAATGACTGAGCTGCTGTAAAATATGAATGCTGGAAAGTACATCTATTATCGTTCTCCTCAGGTTTTGTCTTTTTACTTCTTGAAGAACTGCGTGATTGTTGCTTTATAAGAATAGTGAGTTGCATCATGCATTTTTTCAAGACACTTAGTTCTTTGGGAGGTTTCTGAGACAAGGATTTCCCCACTGGCTTGTATGTAAATCATTGTTTTGGGGTTTTTTATTATTTTTGGAGGTCACAGTAGTGTAACTTGGGGCCGTCGTAAAGGACAGCTGGCTTCTGGCCGCTTAGGTTGTTTCTTTTTGTAATAGCTTAAGTAAGTGCGGTGCAAACGGGCACGTGCAGTGAGTGGGACCTAGAGCAGTAGGCACGCAACTTTTTAAAGACCGCGTGGATACACAAGGTAACATTTGAGGCTGGTTGAAATGAGTGACAAAACTGTCCTTGGCTTTCAGGGAGCCGGAAGAGCCTGCAGTAACCCAGCCCGTGGCTGGAGTTCAGGCTGAGCGTGCTGCCTGGTGCAGCCTGTGGCCGTGCAGCCCCTTCCAGTCCGCACACCTGGAGGCTGTCCAGGACCGAAGAGTGGGAGAGGTGTTGAGTCTTGTGAAGTCTTAAAGATCAGGATTTTCCAGCCACATACACCAGTGCCCGAGAGCAGGAAGGCACCCCAAGATACCACACTGTAGATGTAACCTAAAAATCTCTTCACTGGATTTGCTTTCAGCTTTAACAGGCCTTGTTGTAATTGCATTTGGGAGAAGAGTTTCTGGAGTAAGGGTTTGCTGTTTTGCACTGTACCAGAAAGCTCCTGTTGTAAATGTTGACTTAAGGTTCTTTCATAATGATCAAATACTACTATTTCCTCCTCCCATAGCAGAAGTCTTAAAATATGACTCATCTTTTCATATTGATATGCAGAAAGGAAAGTTTTGGCATGGGAAGAATGAGCCCAAAATAAACCAAGAGTACCATGCAAAAATCACTCCTGCTAAATTTAATTGCTTTTATGTGTGAGTCACACTAATGCTACCCTATCTTTCTTTTCTGTACGTGGCACTTCACTGATGAAATATTTCATTATGTAATGAAATGGAGCATAATGAACCTCTTTCTAGTGAGATGTTGGAAAGCTGTCAGTTTTGCACAATGCTGCAGTAACTGCTATAATACTCAGTGGGACCCTGGATGGATCCATCTCTACCATTACATACTTGATTTCAGAGTTACGCTAAATCACGCAGCAGCCAGGTGACTGCTGCTTCAGCTGAGCAGTCTGGAGTGAGTTTGTTAACAGCGTTAGAAAGTGGAAGGATTCCAGCCCACCCTTTCTGGTTTACTATAATGATTGCTGTGTCAATATGATGAATATAAACAAGTAGCCTTGGAAGAGAATGAAAATTACTTACTTTTCTCTGCCAGCTACAGTTCTGGTCTTCTAACCTGTCATAGCAAACTGCATGGTTTTTAAAGTTACGTGTTTGGCATCTAAGCGCTGATCCGGAGCTCACTGTATTTTTGGTGGAACCCTGTTTCATGTAAACGTGATTTTAAGTAAAATCAAAGTGACAGGCTTAAGGCACTGCTGCGAAGTTCTGAACTGGACTCTGAACCAAAGTTTCATTTTTCCTTTAAGCAGATAGTGTTTATTTTTCTCGTAATCACCCTAGAAGAGATTTATCAATCCAGAATAATTAGCCAAATACTTCTGTGCAATTTATACAGCCTTAGCTACAATAGACAGATGACAAAACTAGGGCCAAAATCCAACACTGCGGTCTACAGTTTGGCTCTCTAGTAGGTGGGGTAGCATGTATTGATAAAACATGTGTTAACTTGCTTTGCAGGTTAACATAAATTAAATGGTATGGTTGTTCCCAGGTCAGAAATGACTGCAGTAGGCTGGGCTTCCTCTGTGTGCACTTTTCACAACACAAAGTTGTGAGCGGGGCTGTAGACTCTCCCAGCATTCTTTACATTCTCCTTTGCAAGTAATGCTACTCTGCCTCCTTCTTGCAGAGGTCATGTCAAAATACACTTATTCCTGCAAGGAGTAAATAGCATTTTTAAGACCTGATTTATCATTAAACAAATATTGTTAGAGTGTAGGTAGCTTGCCTCTGCTCTTGCTCGTAGTAAGGTTATGGTAAGGTCACTCTGTCAGTATCAGTATTTCCTATTTTATGGCTTTTTAAGTTGCAGCAGAATCAAGGCCAGCATTTTCTCAGGTATGCTTTCATGCAAAATCACTGCAAGTACGCGCCCATTTGGTGGTTTGATTAGCACTGCTGGCACAGAAGACTATACTGTGCCCTTTTGCTCCTTTGGTAGCTAAAGCACTGGGAAATCCTTGTGTTTGAGCCTGAATTTGTGGTGACCCCGTATGCAAGAAGGACGCTAACATGCACCCATTTTGCAATGTCAAACTAGAAAACGAAGAACGAAGACAAGCCAGTGTCTTGTTTAGTAGTCCCTGTGTGAGGAATCTGCATCTTCACTGCTTTTTAGGGTTTCCATAACAGAAAGAGTTCATAAAAGCTGCTGCTCTGTAGAGCAAATAGTTGATTTCTGCAGTGACTCAAAGCAGGTTATGTTCTGTGTAAAGCTGTCAGAGTACTGATAAGGCACGAGGGAGAATCTGGGCTTTTATATAACCAAATTCAGAATGTTTTTTTCTGTTCGACAGCATTATTATGGCCTACATAAATGTCAAAGGCAAATTACCTAACATTAGCTGTTAGTTTTCATTTAGGATGCCAGAAATACAGTGAAGATTCGTATGGAAAGTTCAGGGCATTATCTTTGGAAAAAAAAGAAAGATGGATATAAAATTAGTATTTTGGGATACCTTAATTAAAACCTTGTTAATAATGAGGGTTTGCTAACACTTGGGAAGGGTGGGAAACCTGAACCTGCCGCCTTGTCTGAGGTTCCTGCTCTGCTCAGTGATAGCTTCATGGACTCCAGTTCATGTTTCCCTTGTTTGCCATTTTATTAGGCATAAATGCCTAATCAATCAATAAATATTTTATACATAAACCTCGTTAAAACTATAGGGGTTAGATGTGTTTATTTGCATCATTTTCAAGGGAAACTAATCCATTCATTTGTATGCAGGTATCAAACTGGTTTGCCAATGCAAGACGTCGCCTGAAGAATACTGTCAGGCAACCAGATCTTAGCTGGGCTTTACGAATAAAACTGTACAACAAATACGTTCAGGGAAATGCTGAACGACTCAGCGTGAGCAGTGATGACTCATGCTCTGAAGGTTTGTTGACACTCTTTTTATCAGTTTTAAACCAATTAAAACATATTTATGAAGTACCAGATACCCTAAGTTAGCTCTGATTTCTCACAAAACGCCCTCAGTGGATCCGCCTTTACTTTTTGTGAATTAGGTGCCAGTTTTGGCTCCCAACTACTCTGCAGCCTTGCAAAGCAGGATTGTGTAGGTTAATCGGGGTGACAGTTACTAGACAGTTACTAGAAAGATAATTGTTAGTTCATTAGATTCTACAAGCCTATTGCTTTAATCTGCATTAACGGAAAAAATTGATTACATTGTTGGTTTAAGGAAATGAGAAATGTCTTGACTGGTACTTTCCTTGATCGAAGGGCTATAGCAATGTCATGTCACTAACAAGAGAATCTGATTAACAAGAGAATGTGATTAACTTCAGTGGGGCATATTACATGGTAAACTGAATATTACTGTTACTAATTTAATCTATTTTACCAGCAAACATTTTCCTTAAAAGGTGCACTGAAATTCTCTTTCTTATCCAAATTAACAAATGTAGGAATTTTTTAAATTGCACCCTATAATTTTTAATAGAACATTTGTACTAATTACGTCTGTGGGTGCTTTTTTTAATCAGTTGTGACATGGAGATACACTGACAGGAACAAATGCTGCAGAACATTGTCAGAAATGTGTATGTGAATTTTTTAGAAGAATATGTTTCAATTGGTACTCAGTTTCAATTCTCTTCGTTCTGATTTCAGTTTGTCCTCACATTTCTTTGGTTTGCACTTCCCTTTAAAAGATTTGTTGTAGGATAATTAAAAGAGTACAGTTTAAGCAAATGTGCTTAAGTACGTCATAATACGCAGAGGAAGCAAATTTCAAGTTATGATAGTAAGAATTCGGCTTATTCACCCAGATTTTGAAATGTTTATCATTGATTTAGGGCACTTCTCAGTTTTTTCTACTGGCCTTGTGTTGCTCATGAACAAATTAGACCCAGACACTGTTTTCTACAGTTAATTAATTTGGAATAGTTGGAACGTCTGAGAACCCTGGGAACTCCTGTGAGCAATGTGTGAACAGAAGAAAATGAACATCACTGTCTAATGCTGAAGCCTAAAATTACTTGTTTAGGTTTAGTTATATTTATAGCAATTTAAAACATGAAGGGAAAGCATCTTGTTAAATATTAGGTATTCAATGCAATACTGTATCTTTCTTCCTTTGTTTTCAGATGGAGAAAATCCTCCAAGAAACCATATGAATGAAGGGGGATACAACAAACCAGTTCACCACACTGTGATTAAAACTGAAAGTTCAGTAATAAAAACAGGAGTGAGACCAGAAACAAGTGCCAGTGAGGATTATGTGTCACCCCCCAAATACAAAAGCAGCTTATTGAATCGTTACCTAAATGACTCATTGAGACATGTCATGGCTACTAATGCAGCTATGATGGAAAAAACAAGGCAAAGGAATCACTCTGGCTCATTTAGTTCCAATGAATTTGAGGAGGAATTGGTGTCTCCGTCATCATCAGAGACAGAAGGCAATTTTGTCTACCGGACAGGTAAGGGATTCTTTCTGCATCATTTCTAATAGAGCCGGCTCTGGGGGATGGTGTCACCTGGAATGAGTGTCACCTGATTGTGCCTTTTAGGAGAGTAGATCACTCCTGGCTGTCCTCTCGTACGAGAGTGGAAAACTCCTGTCCACCCTCTCATTCACTGGAGAAGTTCTATCAGCAGTATTGAAGTTAAATGCTGTTACTGACTGCTAATGAAGCTGGTTTGCTTTTTGAATGGAGCTATGGGGCTGATTTTTGAAATGACACTTGCAGGTCGTTTTTGTCCGCACTGAGACAAACCTAAAGCAGGAGAAAGCCTAAAGAAGGAGAAAACTCTTGAGCATTCTGTTACAGTAAGGGAGGACTAGAGGAGGACTAAATACTCCATGGCCCCAGCTGGGAGGAAGAGGAGGGCTTTGAAATTTCGGGGTGGCCGTTTGTGGCACTTACGTGAGCCATATGTCCCCCAATGGAGCGCACATGCACACCTTCCCCTGTTGTACAGCATCTTTTCTGTCCTCAGAGTGCCTTCTCTGGTGCGTGGCCCTTTGGAATCTCTTAGGAATGCATGGATTAGACCAATCATAGAACCATAGAATCATAGAATGCTTTGGGTTGGAAGGACCTTTAGAGGTCATCTAGCCCAAACCCCCTGCCGTGAGCAGGGACGGCTTTAACCAGATCAGGTGCATTACTCTCCAGACACAGTGCACTGAGCTAAGGGGCCACAGACTTGGCCATTAAGTATCTTGGCTTAATGATTTTTGAAGGGTTACACATAATTTATTATTTTAATCTTATCAATAAAAACATAAAAGCATGATTTATATGATCTGTTGTGTTACCAGTCAGAGGAAGGCACATGGGACTGCCCGGTTCATGCCAATAAATTGCTGTAAATCAGGGCAAGGTCAGGACCTGTTCAGGTCCCTGTGGGGCCCGGAGTGCTGGAAGGCTCCTCTTGTGAAGCTTGTTCTGTATTTCTTTGGGGATGTAAGGCAAAGGCTGTCCCCTTACCTTTGAAAAAAATGAAGTTTTGCATCTCAAGCTCTGAAGGTCTCCACCAGCGTCTCAGGGTTTCCACCCATCGCAGCAGCCCTTCGCGTTGTCCTGGGCCCTTTCTCAGGGTTCTGCCAGCGACCACCCTGTGGGCAGCATCACTTTTGGGGTGGGTGAATATTGATGAAAAGTACTGGAGGGCTTTGCACTAAATTTAATATAGATTTAGATGTTGTACTTGGTTCCCCTTGGCTTCCCTGGCAGGCAGGTTCAGGTGCCCCTCGCCTTTGCAGCCTCTCAAGTTTGCAGCCTTTGCCCTCTCTTTCCTGGCACATTTCATGTGATTTTTTTGTCCCTGTGGAGGGACCATAAGTATTTCAGGAGGCTGAATGATCTGGTGGGGGTAGGAGAACGTTGCTGCGTGCAGGTCATCAGGGGATGACCGAGGGGGGAGTGGGGGCCCCATAGAGAAACGGGATCTTGTGGGGAGCAAGGATAGTGCATGCACGATGAATAAGTTTCAAAATTAACTCTCTCCATTCATTTAGCTTTTCTTTTTCAACATACCAAATGCATTTGGTCTGCATTATGGGCATATTGTCTGCCAAGTTTTATTTTTAAGTGAAAAGTTACTCAAGAGCAGATGCAGCAGCTTGGATATGTAAACTTCTGTTTTTCTGTACTTTTATACCATAACTTAAAAATGGACACAATGACTTTTTAAAAATTGTAATAAATTTGCTACCGGATTAAGTTCTTCTTGCCAAGTTTCAAGCTGCACTGAAAAATATGGTCTTTAATGAGAAGGCTGAGGCAGGCACACTGTAACTGTGTGAGTTCACAAGCTGGGCTGGAATGACTGAAAACCAGTATATTTGTCCTTAAAGTTCATAACTGACATTCCTGGAACTCCTCTTGAGATAGTGTTTAAGTCAGTTCTTAAATATCTTTGTTAATGTTTTGAAGTGCTGTGGCCTTTGATGAGAATTCACCAGCAGCTCTCAAGATACAGTTTTATTCTTTTTACACTTCCAAAGCAGGCAAGCAGTAGCCTGCTGATAGAAAGAAAAAGATCATGTGCACACACTATATTATTTGGTATATCCTTCCTGTATGTGTCTGCACATTCCGGAAATAACAGGTGTAAATAGGCTTTTTTCAGCTACAAGATTGCAGTCCCATTAACAATTTTCTGATGATAACATGCAGGAATTGAGCCCTTCAGGAACAAAGCAGATATTTTCAAGTTATTATGCGTTCATGAAATCTGTTTACAAATAGATGAAATTATCCAAATGATTGTTAAATAGGAAGAGATAAATAAGGACTTTTTTTTTTTTTATGTCTTGTAATTTGAATACCTGGGATGGCAGTTCTCAGTGCAGTCATGTAGCAGAGCTGTATCTGTGTGGTCAAAAATAGCTGCAATCCATTTTGGTTAAGCAAAATACCAGAGTACGTCTGACTGTACCACTCATGCCTTCCTGAAAGCAGCAAGTGTATTTTTAAGTGAGATATCGCCACTTATAAGGAGCTCCCTGCTGCAATTTTTTAAGTGAAACAGCTAATTTTTAACACAAAGGGGTTGAAGCAGAATTGTGAAGTCCCTACTAGATGTTTTCGTTTATGAAGACATTTTGGCTAGTATTTCAAAAAGCACAGAGTGAAAACCGATTGACGTTTCATTTTTGAGAAACGTTTGGCAAAGGTTGCTGTGCTAAGAGCGGGCGGTCTTTGGTGTTGAAGCAAATTCTTTATCGTGCTTCCCTGGAAAAGAAACTTCTCGTAGCAGATCATGAGTAGAAAGCTTACTCACCGCATCTGGTTCATGTTACGGGCCGGACCCTGATTTCAGGCACATCTTTTTTTCTTCTCTCGCCCGGTGCCAGCCAGGGTCAGCGTGGCCACGTGCGTCGCAACAGCCTGCGCCAAATTAACAGGGTACGAGTGCAGCGTCCAATGACAAACCCAAGAAACTGCAGTTTAAAGTTTATAAGGAAAACGGGTTGTACAGTTTCCCATTTCAGTCATTAACATGCTTATAAACACGGGACCATATGCTACTCCAGCTTCACCCAACTGGGAAATCCCGTGGAAAGATCAAGGACAGGCTATAAGCGTCGGTCAGGAGAGCGGCCTCGCTTCGTACCTCTGCAGGGTTGTTGCGAGCTCGTGGGAAGCGGCTTCAGTGCTGGGCCAGGAGCAGCAATCCCAAGCTGGGTCCCTCGCAGGTGCGGTGCCCC